GGGGGGGGGGGGGAATCCAAAGCTTGCTCTCCCCTCCCCTTGGCTGAGTAGTTCTCCTGGGTACAGGCATCCCCACCAGCCCGTAGGGATAAGTAACTCCCTTTCTCCGCACCAGCAAAAGCAAAGCTGCTTGCAGCCAAAAAATTAGTAAAGGCAGAGGCGCAAAATAATTTAAATGTTTAAATAAACTTAAACAACTTTTCTAAAATGCTTTTGAGCCTCCAAAGGACAAAACAGGCTTGTTTCAAATAGCGGGGCAAATGACAGATCGCTTCTCATTGGAGAGAGAGCATGGTCCGACGAGCCAAGCGCAAGCACAGGGCTAACTCCCATGATATCCGGGCTGCTGACGCTGCGCGGTTGCGCAGGATGAGGTCTCTGTCCACATCTCCACTTTCTGGTTTTTGGCTGTAATTTCTGAGGTGGTAATGTCCACTAGGAAAAATACAGTTAACTAGGACTACCAATAGAATAAAACTCCTGGTGACAGTAACCCAGCAAGTAGTTTTCATGTGCACTAACAGGCCAAAAGGTGAAGGCTGTGGGACAGGCAGCATTTTGTCCCGACTCGCTAACACGTGCAAACACCACATAGCCTTAGCTACCCTACGATCTCACCCTCCAAAGGTTTCCAAACCCTTCCCAGAGCATAAACAGCTGCAGCCATTTAAGACACCTGCTTTCCTCAGACATTAGTTGTGCCCTGGTGGGAGCCACCGCTGTGAAGGGTGGGCAGCAGGAGAGGCCAGGCGCCCTGGGGACAGCCCTGCCGGGGGGTCGGCACCACCGGCCAGCACAGCCCGGCTGGGAGCTGCTGCTGTCGAGGGCACAGACGTGCACCTGGCACCATGGCAGGGATTTGGCACTAGAAAGCGGGGGCAGCCCTTGGGGGGCATCAGGCACTGCTGCCAGTCTGGGCAGGGGAGATGTCGGAGAGATGCCAGCGTGAGGAAGGGGGTGGGAATACAAAGCAGCAACCCTGCTTGGGGTTGGTTCAATCTCATAGATCTCCACCCAAAAACAAAAGATGAGGATGTACATCAAGGCTGAGCCCATTTACTACTCCTGTGAGAGAGAGGGGTCCTGCCCCTGACATTTTCTCCCCCCACCATGTTCCCAGGTCTCACCTTCTCTTGCCCTACCCTAACCACATAGCCCCCCACTTCACACTGCCTCCTGTGCTTTTCTGAGCCTTGGCTGAGATAATTCAGCTCACTGACACAACAGAAAGCCATTCACCTTGTCAAGGAAATTTTCTGCTGCCTTGCCAAGCTGAATTGGCTTAACACACCAGGTGAGTACCGGGAAGAGGGGAAGGGAGGCCAGGAAAAGGGCCCTGTGACCCAGCTGGTTTGAATCTTCACTCTAACAGCTGCTATTGTTAACTAAATTTGGGGTTAAGAATACGTCATTGTCCCTTAACAGAGACAAGCCAGGGGAGTGGGGCCTGCTGCTCGGGATGCATTCGAACGCTGTCTAGCACAATAGAGCAGTGACCTCTCTCTGCATTACTGTAATACAAATAATAAGAGTTGGCCTTTAATTGTGAGCACAGCTGGACTCCCAAAAGATTTGCAACAACAATGACATGTTTAAGCTGTAATGACAAACACTATGTCAAGGTAAAGCAGGATAAGAGAAGGGAAGCATTAAACAAGGGTTCTCATAGTGGTTCATACGTTTATCCTCCTAAGATTAAACATATAAATTGGCTGATGGAAAGTGCATTGTTTTTTCTGATATTGCTCGTAGGCACAAATACATACATTCACCTCTTTTAATGCTGACAGGAGTCAGTGGGGCTCAGTGAAGCAAGGAAGAAAAACACAAGATGAAAATAGATTTAACAGAATTGCTTATTTTACAACAACCGTCACTGTAATAACTATTTCTGAGGTCTTTCTATATTTCTTTTCTTTTCTAGCAATGTCTGGCACGTGGACTAAACTATAAACCAGAGAAAGCCTACTCTGGAGAAAAGGCTACCGTGCCCTTTTGCAGAAAATTACTACCCGCAGCAGAGATTGGAGAAACGACCATATCCTTCAGCCTCCTCAGTGGTTTGTGTCTGCAGTCCAGTGCACACCCACCCTAAAAACAATTTAAGTGAGGGCTGAACAGCTGAGGTATAGGCACACACTCTCTCTGGCTGACTCTGCTCCTCTGGAAAGGGCAGGAGCAGAGCAGAGCACCCTGGGCACAGCACCATTGTAAACCACTGCAGCAATATCTGCACTAGCTCTCTGTTGTCTTCAAAGCACTCTAGATTAGGCCCGAGAGCAAAGCAGAAGGCAAAGGCTCTGCCCAAGCAAGACTGCCAAGCAGTAATGCTTCCTGCGGTGGAGTTTCCAGGTCCATAAAGAGCATGCACGCGCATACACCTAAAGGCTCTGTGCTGGTCAACATTAGTTTACTGATGTTTCACACACAGTTTTCAAATAAATAGGTGCATTACAGAAATCAACTGTATGTGGATTTCCATAAATCCAGGAAAATAAAATAGCTATAAATATTATTGTTATGTAGCAACAAGTTAGCCTTTACTCAGTAGAGTAGCTGTCTGCAAACATTATCAGTATTTTCTGATTGTGGTATCTCTGCCGTGTTGTTTTTGTTTCTTTTGCTTCACTGTTTGCTATTTTATTATATTAATGCAATTCCACAAAAAAAATCCCCGGGACACTGAAACAAAGAAAAAGGAATAGTAAAAAAATATATATTGTTTTTAAAATACAGGCAAGTAAGTGAAAGTTCACGGTCTACCAAAGGCAGCTTCTGCAATCAGAGCAAACCAGTGTGGGATGACCTGCACATGCTCCAACAATAGTGTCTAATCCAGAGGAGGCTGAAGAGCAGCCTGGCTTCCCGCTCCTGCTCTGCTTAGTAGTCATCAAACTGGCAGATTTGGAAGTCATAATTCACTACCCTTCCAGACATATCACAGGTAGTAGAAGTGCTCACTGTGGCACAGAGGACATTTGACCACTGTTTTGCTTGGCTTTACCTCTCTGGATCCCGGTAGACCCAACAAGGCAGGACTTGGGAATGAGGGAGAGAGGCCAGTTAATGCCTTCAGCACGAACCACAGCCCATTTGATCTCTCTCTTTTGCAAGTAAAATCTAAGTCAGTCAGGAAAGAGTTTAACAGTGCTAATATGATCCTGCTAACTGATTAACATAGAACACTTGTCTTTGAAACAGTAGGTCAAATATCTACAAATGCATAAAGGCAACAATATTCAAATGTACCCAAGAGAAGTCTGAGCCTAAAAGATGATGGCAACCTCCAAAGGGGTGCTGAGTCCTCTCAATTCCCAGATGAACGTGGTGCTGAGTGAGAAAGTTAGAAGTTGCAGGGGCTTAGCCTTTCTCTAGAGACAAGAAATATGTTTTTACTGCAGAACTATATCAACTAAGTATTACTGGGGTCAATTTTCCCCTGGTTTGAGCGGTCACAAAGCACAGCTGTTCACCAATGGAAAGCCTGTCCCTGGCCCAACCTCTGCCGCAGGTGCAGGCAAGCAGCCTGCAGGAAGGCGAACCCAGGCTTGACTCCATGTGGGCATGTAGGAGCCTAGCCCAGCTCTCCTGCACCAAAACTCAAGGGAAAGAGGGTACCCTCACCTTCAGTTTGTATGAGTGAGAGTCATGCTGGATATGCAGAGAGAGTCATGCAAATAATAGAAATTCAGGCTGAATTTAAGTCTAGATGAGAGATCTAACCAGGCTGCATGTGTAAATACCACATTTCAAAATCCAGCCAGGTCTTTAGGACTGCACCTGAACCACCAGGTCAGCAACAACCAATTGCACAGTATGTGTGTCTTGACTAACTAAAAATGCAGTACTTGACTGAAAGAAGTGGATAGAAGGATGCCAGAAGTTCTTAGCTTGAGAAGGAATGTTTGAAAAATGATACTGTCCATATAAACCTAGCTTTAAGAAATAAAAGTTTGAAGCTACTGCTCATTTATTACGCTATGAGGAATAAATGTTTAACACTGATTTGAGCGTTCATCACCCTACTAAGTTAACTTTCTGTTATCCATTTATCCTTGACAAGGAACTTATGGGTAAGCCCTGTGCTTTTTTTTCCCCACATATAAGCACAATAATGTATTGAATACTGTAATTAAAAATATGACAGTATCCAAACTCAAGCACTTTTTTTGGCATTATTAAAAAAAAGAAGACATATTTACTCAGATGATTTTTTATCAATTTTTTACAAGTAATAGATAATCTAGGTTTAAAAGCAAGTGACAGTGACCCCTTAAACTATATATACAGTTGTAATTCACAGCTGTGACACTTATGAATTACAGGAATTTGACCTTGTAATTCATTGGTATAATGCCCCAATGCTATGTGGAAAAGTTGCACAAGAAGCTTTTTCTCCACACATAATGATTATTACAGATTTATGACCCATGCTTCCACTATGCATAACTGGCTTACTTCTGTGAAGCTCACGAGGAATGTGGGCTTTAATAAGGCCCAAAGTGAGCAAGAGGAGGGGGAGGGAGCACAGACCCACCCATAACTAATTTCTAAATTAATAAGCATGATTCCCACCCCTCTCTCCTCAAAGAAATAAACTGAATTTAAAAAAAAAAGCATCTTGATACTCACCCTAAGACTTTCTGCCTGATTTCATGTTGCATCCTGCAAAAAACTTGTATGAAAACTTGAAGTAAGGAAGAAGGGCTAGACCTAGTGTAAACTGGCTGATTTCAATTGAATCAGTCAGTCATTCAAATCACACTTGTATGTGCCTTCTGTTCTTACTTATGTAGCCTGGCATGTTTGAACTGCCCTCTCTGGCATGCTCAAGGGTCAGTGCCATATTGATAATATTAGCAACGAGTAAACTCCACTTACTTGCATTCACCTTGCCTCCCTCCACACTCCTTTTGAGAGGCTATAACTAGACTGCTTACTTACACAGAAAAAAAAATAATTTAAACTTAATTGGTTATTCCCTTAAGTGACCACTGTGTTGCTCCATATCTTGCACAAGTAATTTTTTAGCTCTTATTTGGAAGCAGCCTTATAAAGGTGAATAAATGATTAAGGCTCCTTGTTTGTCATGGCAAAAAAATGACCACTATGCAAATTCAGCTATGAATTCCCCCTCAAAAACGTGGTAGGGTTATAACTTACATACTACTAATGGATTAAAGGGGAAAAGTTGCTCTTTTTAAAATGTATGAGAGCCCTAATAGCTTCATTGAAACATGAAGACCCTTTAAAACAACCATAAAAAGCAATGAGAGCTTTATCACTGACAAATTGATCAAGAATACTGTCAACTAGTAAGCTATAAAATAGTAGGCTCTGTTTTGACAAAGGATGTCATGAATCTTTAGATCATAATATTTTTCCAGGCAACCTTAAAACAATATGTCTA